AGCGCAGATAGCTCAGGAGGTAAGGTAAGAGGCTCATAAGGCGAAGGTACCAGGTTCGAGACCTGTCTGGGCCAACATCTTTTTTCATTTCGTTTGTAGAAATAGCTTAGGTAGGCGGCCTACCTAAGCTATTTCTACAAACGAAATGGAAGCCATAGCCTAGAGAGAACTACGAAGGTACAACTGTACAGGTTGTATTTTGGGCTGGCTATGTGTAAGTAAAATAGGAAAGTTGACCAAATTAGTGCATATTGAAATCATTAATTAATTGGCGGTAGCGACATATTAAAATACTGTTTACTGTTTAACCTTTACTGTGTAATGGTTAAGTTAACAATAAACTGTCACTACAAATCTAATTTTAATTTTGTAAAAGTAGTGATTCTACAATACTACATTCGTTCATGTTTCCTGTGTAGGTAAAGAATATAAAAATAAATTGAAGCTTTCGACACAGAGACACAAATTAGACACTCACTAAAGAGGGACACATTTTAATTGGCAGCTCACACTCTTTATTTATTTATTACATGCACGGCAAACGCCATTTTACAAGAGAGTTGAGTTGACATTGATAAAAATTAAATGTGACTTAAAGCACAGAAAACATACTAGTAGTATGTTTTCTGTGCTTAAAGTGAAATAGTTAGTGTGAGCAATAATTAAATATTATAACAAATATGAAATAATATTAAATTATCTTCACTAGTTGTTTACCACAGACGACAATACATCGTGACACGGTGACACCGACCGATGTCGGATGCAGTCGCAGTGCAGGTTTTTTCGGGTTCGGCATAAAAAGGCGCGGGAAGAGGACAGCTGTTTTTAAGTAGCACAGACCACAGCACAGATAAAAGTTCCACTCGGAGTAGGCCTACACGTACGAGAGAGAAGAGCTGCTTTGCTCTTGCTTGTCGACAGTGTCTATTCAGGTCTCACACCCGACTTTATGTTTTCCTATTCACTGCTGAAACTTTTACTCAAAGTTTTTACTCTTGCTTTCTAAAAATACGTCTCGTCTCATTTAAAAAAAAAAAATTATGAATTTTTCCTTTTATCGAGGGCGCAAATATTGGAATTTTGAGAAGGCGTATCGGCCCACCGGCCGGTGGGCCGGCGGGCCAGTCCGTCCCTGGAAGTGATGAAGGAAGTAGTCAAGGCAAGCTGCTCGGAGTGTGGGAACTGCTTATGACCATTATATTAAGGTATCTGCAATCATAAAATGCTATGGAAGGGAGAGAAACAGGTCCGTGGCGTAGGAAGTGGCGAAGGAAGTAGTAAGGCGAGCAGTCCGGAGTGTTGGAACTGTTTATGACGATTAGATTAAGGTATCTGCAATCATAAAATGCTATGGGAAGGAAGGAAAACGGGTCCGCGACGTAGGAAGTGATGAAGGAAGTAGTCAAGGCAAGCTGTCCGGAGTGTGGGAACTGCTTATGACCATTATATTAAGGTATTTGCAATCCTATGATGCTATGGGAAGGGAGGGAAACATGTCCGTCACGTAGGAAGTGGTGAAGGAAGTAGTAAAGGCGAGGAGTCCGGAGTATAAGAACTGTTTATGACGATTAGATGAAGATATCTGCAATCATAAAATGCTATGGGAAGGGAGGATAACGGGTCCGTGACGTAGGAAGTGATGAAGGAAGTAGTCAAGGCAAGCTGTCCGGAGTGTGGAGACTGTTTATGACGATTAGATTAAGGTATCTCTAATCATAAAATGCTACGGAAAGGGAAGGAAACAGGTCCGTGGCGTAGAAAGTGGCGAAGGAAATAGTAAAGGCGAGCAGTCCGGAGTGTGGGAACTGTTTATGACGATTAGATTAAGGTATCTGCAATTATAAAATGCTGTGGGAAGGGAGGAAAACAGGTCCACGATGTAGGAAGTGGTGAAGAAGGTAGTCAAGGCAAGCTGTCCGGAGTGTAGGAACTGTTTATGACGATTAGATGAAGATATCTGCAATCATAAATGCTATGGGAAGGGAGGATAACGGGTCCGCGACGTAGGAAGTGATGATGGAAGTAGTCAGGCTAGCTGTCCGGAGTATAGGAACTGTTAGATTAAGGTATCTGCAATCATAAAATGCTATGGGAAGGGAGAGAAAAGGTCCGAGACGTATGAAGTGGTGAAGGAATCAGTAAGGTGAGCAGTGTGGATTGTGGGAACTGGAAACCGTTTGTACCAGTTAAATTAATGTATCTGCAATGCTGAAATGCTGTGAGAAGGGATGGAAGCATCCCCACGACATAGAAAATGGTGGAAGAAGTAGTAAAGGCTAGCAGTGCGGAGTGTGGGGAATGTTTGCGGCATTTAGATTAACGTATCTTAAATACTAAATTGCTATGGAAAGTGATGAAAACAGGTCCAGGATGTAGAAAAAGGCTTAGAAAGTAGTAAAGTATGAGCATAGTGTAAAAACCGTCTGTGGCAGTTAGATTGATGTACCTTACAGTATCTTTAATCCAAAAATGCTATGAGAAGGGAATGAAACAAGTCTATGACGTAGGAAATGGTGAAGGAAGTGGTAAGGCTTGCAGTGCAGAATGAGTGTGGGAACTGTCTTTGGCAATTACATTAATATATCTGCAATCCTAAAATGTTATGGGAAGAGAGGGAAATAGGTCCACGACGTAGGGGGTGGTGAAGGAAGTAGTAAAGGTTAGCGTGTTGAGTGTGGGAATGGATTAATGTATCTGCAAAGCTAAAACGCTTTGGGAAGAGACTGTAGACTGTACTGACTGTAGGTTAAAATAATTTCGAAGCACGAATCGCAATCGATACATATTTCGATACATGCAATCGTTTATAATAGAAATTTACAACTGAGTTGACAACAGCTGATTTTTACTCCATAGAGGATAAAAACTATTTTTACTCCATAGAGGATAAAAACTTTTTTTACTCCCTAAAGAGTAAAATTGCTACTTTAGACCCGCAACGCATGTATTAAAAACGACTGGTATTACTGCAGTATGACCAAAACAATATAATATAAACCCTTGATGACTCCGCTTAATTTTTGTGGATGCCTCTGCGAACGCCACCTACAGTATAATGAAAAACTTATACACTCAATACAAAAACAAAAATCAACTGTCCGATATAAGCAGGTTGTCTGAAAACAGAATGAACAATTCATTCCGGTAAAAATCTGAGTCAGACTACCTGCGCGCAGAAAATCGGCGCGCAGGTGCACTATGGCCGCTTTTACGTTTACTAGCATGGGATGATAAGCGCGCCGAGTCTGACTAAAATACACTATCCAACATGTTGGACGGACATGTCGGGATCCGACGTCTTGTCGAACATATTGGACAGTGTGTGGGTTCCGACCCGACATGCTCGACGGATATGTCAGGTCGGATGCTCGGTCCGATAGCACCACCCGACTCGAGCCGTCCGCCTGACATGTTGGACCGTGTGGTGGGAAACCGTCGAACTGCTCGCCCGCCTAGCCACAGTTTCCAGTAAACTTGTATTTAGCGAGTTGTGCGTGATGTGTAACCGTCCCATTTTTCCATAATTTCGTTTAATAAAATAATAAACAGTTCTGGTCAGAATTTGTTTAACTCTACAGAGACCAGAAGGCGTTGTGGGCTGTCAAAAATAAACTCTATTACAACAAACATGCACATAGGGGCACGATATCCTGATGTAAACGTGCAAGGAACTGTATCCAGCGTGTGATTTAAAGTTCGTTAAAAATAAAATTGAAAATTTAAGAGCCTAGTTCCATAGGCTCAAAAATCCCTAAAATCATCGCTAAAAAATCCACCTGAAACAGCTAACAGTCGTCTCAAAATCCATCTCAGAACTAATATTTCACCTGACTTGTTGGGTAACATGCTCGACAGTGTGTGGGAAACACCCGACATAAGTCAGGTTGGATGATGGGTCCGTCGTCAGGTCAGGTTGTCAGGTCGGGTGGCATGTTCGATAGTGTATGGGGGGCTTAATCGGAGCCGACAGTCTGACTCAGAAAACCAGCGTGCATTGTGGACGTAGGTATTAGCATAGATAACACATAGTATGTTTTATCTATGGTATTAGCTAAGGGAGTATGTTTTATCTATGGTATTAGCATTGACTAAGGAAATTAGCCTTTGTAACCAGGCTACAGAATTCAATTCTCTGACTTAACCCGTTTCACTACTGCTACTGCACTTAACTCACTACTGTCAAGTAAGTGTCAACTTCCTGCAACTTCACACCACACTCACTTCACTAATCACTACTCACTACTCAGTGGGGGAGTATGTTTTATGGTATTTACTCAGGGGAGGTATAGAAGAGGCTACGATGACAGCTGAGGGCTTCTTATTAGCTGAGGGAACGCCATTACCGTAACAAAACGTTCGTTAGCCATCGGCCTCGGTGGTCTAATGGTTAACGTGCCGGGCTGATATACTGTAGGTCCCGGGTTCGAATCCCGCTGGTAGCATTAGTGTAACTTTTTGCCCAAGATTTTTTTATTATCAGCAAGTTTGGTTGGTTTGGTTTGGTTATTACAGTTTAATTTTATTATTAAGTCATTATAAAATTTTAATTGAGCAATTTCTAGTTTTATTTAATAAACAGAATTATTTTTCCGATTACTAAACTGTTGTTATATTTCTTTATCATCAAGTTTGGTTAGTTCGGTTAGGTTATGATAGTTTAATTTTATAATTAAAAAATAGTAAAATTGAATTTGAGGCATTTATAATTTTATTTTATGAACAGAACTATTTTTGAGATTAGTAAACCTTTATTGCCAAAGTGTTCTCTACTACAGCGCTGTTCACGGAGGAATTTTGAACTAAATGCCTCATTTGTACCTCCCCTAAGTCAGACCCATGTTTTATCTATGTCAGTTACTGACATAGATAAAACATGGGTCTGACTTAGGGGAGTAGGGGAGTCAGTACTCAGTCACTCAGTCCAGTCGACTCAGTCCTCTCAGTCAGTACTCACACTCAGACTCAACCGACTCAACCATCCATCACTCAACAAAACAAACTCAAACCCAAACCAAACTCACAGTTCACTCACATCACATGAAAACAATTCACAAAATTACAATTAACGCTGGTTTTTTTACAAATTAACTGATATGAAAATGATTAAAGGTGGGTTGGTTAGAATAATTAAGTGAGCTTAAGAAACAGCTTTACTCGTTTCTTAAAGTTAATCTAAGTTTTGCTGGATTAGTTAAATAGATTGTTTATTTAGTTTTATAGGTTAAGTTAGCAAGTGTAAACTAACCTCTAGAGCGTTTATCACAATACTAATACAATATTTTATGTTCGTTATGCTCATTATAAAATCTTGAGGCTGCCAATTTACATTGTAAATTGTTATCTTTTCAATATCGATTGAAAATATTGATCGGATTAGTAAAACTTCATGAGACTTTTTTCATTATCAGGAAGTTTGGTTAGGTAGGACAGTTTCATTTTATAATAGATATATTTAAAAATATCGATTATTAATCAATATTTTCAATTTGATAGTTTCAATCGATATTAGCACGATTACTAGAAAAATACTGGTATGGATCATAAACATAAACAAATGACGTTTTTGGCCCGAAAATAAATATATAGTTTAACATTGCTTAAATGGAACTGCCAAAACATATGTTCAATGCTAAGTTATTAGTATAGGATTCGGGCCAACAACGTCGTTTTGTTTATGTTTATGATCCATACCGGTATTTTTCTAGTAATCGTGGATATTAGTATAGCCCAGATAAGAAACTGTATTCGTTATCTTTACTAACTTAACCCTCCGAGTGTCCCTTGTTTTGGCCTTAATGTCTGCCTATTTTTTGCTCATTTGCAAGGTTTTATTAAAACGGATCTGAGAAGCTTGAAAACAATGTTAATTATACTGTTCTATATACCATTTTGTTTGGAAAATCATGGGCTTCAATATTATACATAGAAAATAAGGAACATTTGTTTCAAAAAAATGTTTTAGGTAAAAAAAAATATTTTGGAAAATTTTCAAAAAAAAAATAAGTTTGTGCTCAATAAAATTGTATAAATTATAGGCCTATAAATATTTGAAAATAGCCTAGCCACTTTGTTCTAAATTTTATGAGGATTGCAAATATATAATAATATAAGGAAGTAGATTTGCAAATAAATAAGTTATGGGCAAAAAACAGATTTCAGTACATAGCGTTTAGCTAAGAATACATAGCCTAACCATAGCTAGGAATCTGGCTGATAATTTACATCAATATCACTACCTACTTCTTCAGGATCATCAACCAGCCCTTCAAAATCACTTAAATCTTCTTATAATGCACCACGTATATCACTACTTTTGATTTTTAACACTAAAACAATGATAAACGTAATAAAACACATCAGTCATCGGTCCGAGGGTAACCTAGCTGTTTACAAATACGCACGTCAGCTGTCTGCTACAATTACGATCGGCTCGGAGAACATAAAGTGCTTAGAGACAGACCTCTGGAGAAAGCTTAGAATCTAACGAAAAGAACGATACCTAAATCGATCCAGTTCAATCCGATTCAGTCAGTCATAGAGCCTTCGCCGTAAACAGTGTTTGTGAGTCGCTGCAGCGACACAAAACACTACACAAAGTGTGTTATGTGTCGCTGCGGCGACAAATAACACTCGGAGGGTTAAATCTCTAGTTATCAAAGTAGGCTACTGTGTAAACGTTATGAAATTTCAATAGGCTAAAACTCATTAGACTAAGTTTTTACACTTAACATAACTTAAGGCCTAATTTGACTATTTATTGCCAAACCTTTTTGCAGCTTAAAGCCACTGACTAACCAACACAAGTAGGCTAGCCTAGAATTCTCATCCCATTGTAAATTTTGATTCTCGTTTCTAGTGTTTAAAATAGTTTAATTAATTTTGAATTTCTACCACATCAAGTTCATACTTACTTACATGACATAACGTAGGACAAAGCTGTTAGCTGTCAGCTTATGAGAATATAACAAAATTGTCTAGCCTACATCCCTTATCTTAGTTCATGTCCGGTGACACTGATCGCTACTTAGTGTTGATGAAATTTTGTTTCTATTGCATTAGGCCTAGCCTATTTATGGTTAATTTCATGCATTGTGCTTTACTGTTGGGTTATATAACTAGGCGATGAGTTATTGTTGGTACTTTCCTGTTAAAGGGAACATTCATTATTATCGATGATTTCTTTTCGATAGCCTAAGAATCGATATTTTTGTTTTCCTTTACGATCCATATTCCATATGTTTTAATATCTTCAAACGTATTTAAAATATAGACAAACAGACATAGGTAGCAAAAATGTTTAAGTTATATAGGTAGGCCTACTTGGTTCAATAACCAAGTTAGCCTACCTATTGAGTTATAGTTCGTATTAGAGAATAGGATTAAAATCTTGTTTAGGCAAAGATATCAGTCTATATATTGGATTAAGAAATGAAACTAACCTAACATGAAACCAAACTTGCTGTTTTTTTTTGTCCTAGGACGCTAGGCACGAGCCTGGGATTGTTTTTCACATTACTTCAGGCTAGACCTAGGGGTTGCGGCATTATCACTTAGGAAAATCCATTGGTGACTTGGCGGGAATCGAACCCGGGACCTCAGGGACTGAAGTCCCGCGCTCTAACCACTACACCAGCTCGCTCCCCACCAAACTAGGCAGAGTTACCGTTTCAAAATTCTGTTTGATAACAGAAAAGGCAAATGGGGAATAGGCTATCAAACGGAATTTTGAAATGTTACAGCAAGTTAGGTTAGTTTGGAAAACAGTTTCATTTCAATATAAACTATTTTTTATTTTTTGTTGATACTGAACAATATTTATTTATCGTAGTTGTCAGCTGATAAGTTTCAGTTTGTTAAAAAGTTATCAATACTTATATGGAATAAAAAAAAGTATCGATAGCCTATCTCGAAAAGAAATCATCGATAATAATGAATGTTCCCTTCAACAGGAAAGTACCTTTTTGTTTATGATTAGATCGTTTAACGATGTTTTTGTTTATGATTTGGTTTTAAATGATCGATTGAAATAGGTAGCCTAACAAGAAACAAATTGTAAAATTAAAAACTCTACCTTTACAGTGCGCTGAACAGAATTAACAATAAAATTGGCTTCAGCTGTTTCATAAGGATGAGAAATCTAAGTTAGTAAGCCGAGTACCTATGCTAATTTAGTCAGATTGAAAGGTTGGTGCAGGGACGTAACTAGGCTATTCAGCACCCGGGGCAAACACCTATTTTGACGCCCCCCCCCTCAATTGGACTGAAACTAATTCCTTACAGATCTTCTTTGTGTGGTGTTATTATTTAAAGGAGATGAGGAGCATTCGTTCCTGGTACTTAGTTTCCTTACAACACCAAAAAATGTGTGGTGTGTCCATCAGTACAATACATTAATACTATTTAGATCTTAAAATGCTTAACCTCAAGTTCAAAGTACTAAGGCCTAGATATATGTGGTAAATAATTGAATACAGTACGGTAAAAAATGAAAATGAAATTATCTACACAGGTAAAGTTACACTAAACCTGTACTTTAATATATTTTAACAGAATCAGTTTATACAATTAAACAAAACAGAAATCATAGATACAGAAACTGTAAACAAAAGTCAGTAAATTTTAAATTTTACAAATACTTATACACACACACTCACTCACACACACATAAATACGTGTCGGTGATCGCCCATGCGCACAAGCCCCTAGGACAAACCTACCATGACCATGCGTTCAAAATAGAGATTTTTCAGTGCTGCCACAAACCAGGAACGACTATCAAGGGATTTAATAGATAAAGAGAGATCGTTCCAAAGACGGCAAGCAGTTACAACAAACGCCCTGTCGTAAACTGTGGTCATATGGTGAGTTATAATGATGCATGGTGTGAGTATCTAACACTTTCTTCAGCTACAAACCTAAAATCATCTACAAAATATTTTGGAAAATAGTTTTTTAATATTGAATAGGTTAGCGAAAGAATTTAGATTTTAATTTTGTACGGTACGTATTTTCAAAGACAAATAGTTTATTTGAAAACAAAATTATTCACGAAAATAATATTGCTATTAGCACGCAAAGAAACAGCAGCGCAACCACATTTCGTCTCCTGAACCACTGATTACGAGTAGAATGAAGTATTTGTATATATTTATTTATTACATGCACGGCAAACGCCATTTTACAAGAGATTTTAAGTTGACAGTTATTGTCAACTGACATTGAGTATGAACTGTTGTCAACTACACTAGTGCACAACATACGCAATTAGTCAAGGTCAGACTAACACTCAGTTAGTGTGGTGACTGGTGTGAGGGATGGGGAGCGGAGGGGTAGGTGGCTGCCGGGAGGGGGGTGGAAGTGTTCTGACGCCGCGCCGGCTCTGTCCTAGTGACACTTCGACGACAGACAGACAACGCAGTATGCTCATCCTCATACTCGCTCCGTACAAATTCATACGGACCGTTAACATGATTCGTAAACAGTATAATAACAGTCAGATAGTATTCATCATTTCACTTCGTACTTTAAAAATAAAACATTTAATAATTTTCTTTTGCAACACAAGACGGATTAAAAATATTTTCAATTTTTGTTTGAAAAAATCTGTGCCATGTTGGCGCCCCCAACAACAGGCGCCCATCCGGGGCTCATGCCCCGCGTGCCCCCCCCTAGTTACGTCCCTGGGTTGGTGCGAAACACCATCAATTTCTTGAGGTTGCATTAACAGGTCGGTGTGTGTAAACTGTGACTCTGCCAAATCATTGCACCCTAACTTATAAACTTCGTACGAGAATGGGGTTATCTGCAGTTGGTGATGTTTCAAAATGTTATGTTATTTGTATAAAATGTAAAGAGGTAAATGACTTAACTTAAACGTTAGATGAAAAAATTGCGTTGTGATATAATTTTGTGTTTTCATAGTATGTTAATTATATTGATGTTATTTGAAAATTCAAGTAAAATAGCCTATTGTAATGTTATTTGTTTAATGTAAAGAAAAAAAATTACTTGCGTTAGATTTTGTGTTTTTAGTTTCATTAGTATTTGTAATTTTAGATAGATAACAGATAGATAACAGTGCTTTATTTTTCTGAATCGTTTACAAATTTACAGATTGTATTATTTTTATGCACAAAAGACAATAGTCATTTGACCGTCTGTCTGGTTGGCAAAATCCACTTCCACTATATAAATAAAATCAATACTGCACTGATATAACAAATAATAAACATAAAAGCACTCACTTAAAAGCTAAAATAAAATTTAAACTAATTTACATTCATTCCAATTTTTTGAACTGCACCAAGGATTCTAATCTATTGCCTACACATACTAATACACATACCTACTTATCATACTAGGCTATACTGTAAATACATACATACACACATACAAACATACAGATATATTCTAACATACAGTTTTTAGAGTTAAACCAAGAATTTCCTTATACAGTAAACAGTTAAATAATAAATCTTTGAGATAAAAAGTATCATGAATGCTGAAACATAAAATACTGCTCTAATAAAATGAAAGGAAAAAAAAACAGAGTATATGATTGTTGAGATTCATCATCAAATAGCCTAGTATATAATGTTTTAAACTGCTTAATTCATGTATGCTTATTGTCACCTGTCGTTCAAAAGATTACCCTCCACTTGAATACCTTTGTATTTGTAATTTTTCTAAGGTGCCTCGAAGAGATTGTGCACGCTATGAAAATAATAGGGCTCATAACGCAAATAATAGGGATATGATGAGAAATAATTTTTTTCACCCGTATATATTAGGCCTATATATCAAATATAGGCTATCAAGAGTTTTTAAGTCACAAAGTGACGCAGGTTGTTAGTTTCTGTTTAAAGCCAATATGTATCCAATTATTGTTGTCCTTAAAAATAACACAATTTTAATCCTTTATTGCAGTAGAGCCCCACTAATCTGCCATTGTCTAGTCCGACTTCTATCTTAAACAGACCGTGCCATCACCTAATGATTACAATGTTATCACGGCATTTTATCACGTTGTGTGCGGATGTTCCCATTTGTGTGCGGCCGTTCCCACTTGGGTACGGTGCTCAACCCCCATAGGGTGGGTCCGTACCCGATCAGGAATGCTCGGCAATGCCTTTTGTATATCTTAGTTTTTGCTCTAGCGTCTGTCGAAGGCTGTCCTATACCACGTTAGGGTGTAGTGTGTCACTTGCTTTTGTTGTGGTATAGGTTGGTAGTAAATTTCCCTGTAAAATCCCTATCTGGCAAACTTAAAAATCAACTTTTTTCCCGTCTTTCTCCCTCCAATTGGCAAAACAATGGGACCGGCTATGTTTCAAGCAGTGCTGCTATCTGTGGGTGTTTAAGCGAACTACGTCGACTCTCGTCCTAATGTAGGACATTACCGCATGTTATTTGCTATTTGTCACCGAAATTTGAAAGCCAATCACCCAGCAATTGGGTTTGTTCGACGCTGCAGGCTGTGCCACACTGGGGCTACGCCTGCCATCTGATGGGCCGCAGCAAATGTGTTAACTTATAATGACCATTTCCCTTCGTTGTGTGGACATTATTACTGTTTCCCGCAATCAGCATCATCCTCTAAGATCGTGCAAAATAATTGTACATCTAGAATCTAAATCCTTCGGTCTCGGGGACATTACCATAGTTTTCCTCAACTGTGAGAAATTCCTGAATTAGAATTTCTTCTGTGTTAATGGAAACAACACCGTCTTCCGCGATTGCGGCGAAATCCTACACAAATCCCGGCATCATTGAAAACTGCATCATCTTCTTCGGCGAACGTGGCAAAATTCTAAACATGCTGCTTCTCAGATAATAATCTTTTCTTGTTCCGTCCATGGTCCTGGTCCTGTAGGTGACACATGCGTGGTTGTACTGTATTAGTGTTGGCCTAGCTCATTATTGCATTTCCTGGAGCAGTAGTCATACTACCAACCCACTGGTGCTTACTCTTCAAGCACCATCTCACTTGTGGTGCTAGTGGCACTTCAGTTTTTAGGGGCACTCTTTCTGGCCGGCTGAGTTGACTAACGTGTGCCCCTGATGAGTGTAGCTTTAAGATCTTTCTACATAATATGTGGGTTCGATTCCGGTATGTTTGCAATCAATAAATACTAAGCTTACTGATGTGACACATAGCTGGTGGAAGGGCCTACCTTACAAACAGTGTCTGGCTTGAGTGGAAGTTGACGGCATTATTAGTGATTTAAATACTAATTAGGCTACACACAACCACACATCACATGTTTTGCTTCTTTTCAGTCTAGCATAGTGGGATGGAGCATATCACAGGATTTTACTCTGGCTTTCATTTAGATAAATGTATGGACATATTGTGTTGAAATAAATATGAAAAGATACAAAACATTTAAAACAAGTAGGCTAATAAATATATAGTAATAAATATAGGCTATATAAAGACTTAACAAAAGTAGGCCTACATTTAGGTAGTCTATAAGGAAATCATAAAATTATTTCCTTGTCAAATGGGTTAATCTGATTTCACAATGTAGAATGAGCAGTGAAAATTTATACTATGATGCTAGGCTATGTTACGGAGTTATTGAAAAGTTGTCAGGGTGCAAACATGAAGTGGCTCAAGATAAGTACCTACAGTACAACACTAGTTGCAGCATACTTTCAAATGAGGAAACTTTGAATTGCTTGATTTATTTTCCAAAATATTAGCCAAGATAACTTACTCCATTTATATCTGGTAACTTCAATGACTGTTAGTTATCTGGCCAACTCTACGGTACTGTATAGGCCTATAGTCTCTAGCCTATGCATAATCACAAGGTATCATATGCAATTAAACATCCATGGGCATGTAGCCTGTGCCAACTAATTAAAATCTAATACGAAATTGAAAAATTAATAAATTGTTGGAACACTTGGCCTGCAGCCAAATTTAGCACTCTAATCTAAGTTAGTGCTGCTGATCTAGGACCTTTAGATTTCAACCTATTATTTTGTTTAAATTTATAATTAATGATTTTTTATAGGAAACATCATCATCTTCAAGGTCTCCAAGATTAATACACCTTATTGATTCCAAACTAATTTTGCTTGAAAATCCGATTCAAAGCAATGGAAGATCCAGCCTACATCCAAAGTCTGTTTGACATTAATTCAAACTACTCCTGCTACTTTTGTGTTGGAGATCCACGAGAAGGCCTAGTTGTAAGTCATGGCTAAGTTCAAGTTTATAATCCATTGACTGCCAGTTATTCTCAAATTTAAAATCGTACAAACAATGCTGATGCTAATATGCTACTCTTGGGTTTTGTATTTGATTATCATTTGTATTCAAAGACATAAAGTGTGGTATTTATAATTAATAGCAATGATTGCTCCTTTTTGTTTACGCATGTCTCATTTAGCTGAGTGGTTAAAGTGCTCGCCTAACAGCAAAGCTGAGGATGAAAGTTAATAATACCGGTAGGCCTAACTACTATAGTGGCTGGAAGGTCTAATTCTCATTTTCAGACCTTTCGCTACCCGTTCAAAATGCAAACTCCTTTTAGACCCTCAGCAACTCATTGAGCGGAGCGAGCGAAGCTCTTATACGTCGACTCTTATGTAATACGCTGCAGATAGTCGTAGTACTCACCCGTGCGGACGTTAATCCACACCTGGGAGTATCGCATCCACAGAGCATGCCTATAAATATCCACAATTCTTCAATTTTGATTATTAGCGAATTTCCCTATAGGGAAGTAGCTATTACCGTAGGTGGCACGGTAAGTGTTCAGTAAACTTGAACATTTTATTTCATCGTCTTTGTTTTACTTAAAACTAACTCTCTTCTCAGCAACATGTGTTTGTCGTCATATAAAATTATTCCTTATTATTATATTGTTAACATATGTTGCATTCAAAATGTAAATAAATCAGAGTGCTAGGGTAGTTCTCCTATCTCAAAAGTGTCTTAATTTTTTCTCCCTCTCATAATCTCAATTTAATATTCCCATTTCTCTACATTTCATACCTCTGGTCCTTCGAACTAATTCTCATTAAACCCTTTCTCATTTATATTCCCCTTTCTCAATCATTCCCTATAATTGAGCGGAGCGAGAGAAGCGAGCGAAGCTCTTATACGTCAACACTTATGCATTTCGTAATACGCAAACTCCTCCTAGACGGCTGAATCAATCGTTTTCAAATTTTGCATGGTGATAAAGACCATATCGGTGAGTGCCAACATCTACATGGCGTTAAAAAAGTCTCTCAGGAATCCGCCCCACTGGGTCTCAAAGTTTCAATGTAATCCTTATGGAAGCAGTATTTGACACATAAACAAAGACATATGATCAGCTGTTGACTTTTGAATGCAGTAAATAAAGAAATAGCTGATAGCATTATTCCACAGATATTAGAACAGAAACGGTATGGATCATAAATATAATCAAATGGCGACACTAGCTTGAGGAACATGATGTAGGAAGTGGTGAAGGAAGTAGTCAAGGCGAGCTGTCAGGAGTATAGAAACTGTTTATGACGATTAGATTAAGGTATCTACAATCCTAAAATGCAATGGGAAGGGAGGAAAACAGGTCCGTGATGTAGGAAGTGGCGAAGGAAGTCAAGGCGAGCAGTCCGGACTGTGGGAACTGTTTGTGACGATTACATTAAAGTATCTGCAATCCTAAAATGCTATGAGAAGGGAGAAAAACAGGTCCACGACGTAGGAAGTGGTGAAGGAAGTAGTCAAGGCGAGCAGTCCGGAGTGTGGGAACTTTTGATGACGATTAGATTAAGGTATCTGCAATCCTAAAATGCTATGGGAAGGGAGGGAAACAGGTCCGTGACGTAGGAAGTGGTGAAGGAAGTAGTAAATGCGAGCAGTCCGGAGTGTGGGAACCGTTTATGACGATTAGATTAAGGGTTCTGCAATCCTAAAATGCTATGGAAAGGGAGGGAAACAGGTCCACGACGTAGGTGAAGGAAGTAGTCAAGGCGAGCAGTCCGGAGTGTGGGAACTTTTGATGACGATTAGATTAAGGTACCTGCAATCCTAAAATGCTATGGGAAGGCAGGGAAACAGGTCCAAGATGTAGGAAGTGGTAAAGGAAGTAGTAAATGCGAGCAGTCCGAAGTGTGGGAACTGTTTTTGACAATTAGATTAAGGGATCTGCAATCCTAAAATGCTATGGGAAGGGAGGGAAACAGGTCCAAGATGTAGGAAGTGGTGAAGGAAGTAGTCAAGGCGAGCTGTCCGGAGTGTGGGAACTGTTTATGACGATTAGATTAAGGTATTTGCAATCTTAAAATTCTATGGAAAGAGAGGGAAACAGATCCGCGACGTAAGAAGAGGTGAAGGGAGTAGTAAGGTGAGCAGTGTGGAGTGTGGGAACTGGAAACGGTTTGTAGCAGTTAGATTAATGTATCTGCAATGCTGAAATGCTATGAGAAGGGATGAAAGCATGCCCACGTCATAGAAAATGGTGAAAGAAGTAGTAAAGGCTAGCAGTGCTGAGTGTGGGCAATGTTTGTGGCAATTAGATTAACGTATCTAAAATACTAAAATGCTATGGAAAGTGATGAAAACAGGTCCACGATGTAGGAAGTGGCTTAGGAAGTAGTAAAGTATGAACATATTGTGAAGTGGCAGTTAGATTAATGTATCCTCAATCCTAAAATGCTATGAGAAGGGAAGGAAACAGGCCCCACGACGTAGGAAGTGGTGAAGGAAGCAGTAAAGGCTGGCAGTGCAGAGTGAGGGAACCGTCTGTGCAGTTAGATAAATGAATCTAATACTTAAATGCTATGAGAAGGGAAGGAAATAGGTCTATGACTTAGGAAATGGTAAAGGAAGTAGTAAGGCTTGCAGTGCAGAGTGTGGGAACTGTCTTTGGCAATTACTGTACATTAATGTATCTGCAATCCTAAAATGCTATGGGAAGAGAGGGAAACAGGTCCACGACGTAGGGGGTGGTGAAGGAAGTAGTAAAGGTGGGCAGTGTTGAGTGTGGGAATGGATTAATGTATCTGCAATTTAAAAATGCTATGGGAAGAGACTGTAGACTGTAGGTTAAAATAATTATGAAGCACGAATCGTTACATATTTCGATACATGCAATTGCTTACAATAGAAATTTACAACTGAGTTGACAACAGCTGAGTTTTACTCCATAGAGGCTAAAAACGAATTTTATTCCCTAAAGAGTAAAAATGCTACTTTAGACCCGCAACGCATGCACCAATGATCACTGTTTTTACTGCAGTATGACAAAAACAATATAAAATGAACCCTTGATGACTCCGCTCAATTTTGTGGATGCCTCTGCGAACGCCACCTAGTTTGTACATACAGTTTTTCTTAAAATGTAAGCCACCACAATGTAAACATTTAATGTTTATTTGTCTGAGGGTGGATGTATCACCAAGGTGGTACTGCCACTCTTTAACCTTCAAATGTTCCATTGGGAGATTGATGCAAGCGGCCACGTTCGAATTTTTTCCAGCTACTCACAGTTCTTCGACTTACTGGTGGCATTTAATTTTAAATTTGGATAAAATACTAAAGTTAACCAAACAACAGAAAACACTACACAACAGAATTTTTTAAATTACATGAATTACAAATAATCACTTTCAACCATTCATTTCATCACACCGAACTGTAACTAAACAACTCGATAATTTAGTAAAATACGATGTAAAGTAAACAAATTAAACTATTACAAACAATTTGTTGTCAAGTGTCTTGCTAAGAAACTATTAATTTATGAACCAGTCTTAATAAAAATATAAATTCCGGCTTTGCTCTGGAAGTAATAATCCCTGCAGTCTGTGATTAACCTTAAAAATCATTACAAACTACGTCCATATGTTTAGTTGTAAACAAAGGAAAATGAGTTTGATATACTGTCAACAGATAGCGCTGCCATTCCCTAACTTTAGGCCTTAACTGTGCACTTTAGGCCTGTACTTAAGTGATGCCCATTTTTTAATTTTCTGAGACGTATTTGCACATCTACGTAAAAATACCTTTAATTTGACACCTCAAACGTTAAAATCCGTCAAGCCGTTATCGAGTTATGACTGTTAAAAGAAAACTGCTTGCGTATTAATATATAGATACTGAAAAATCCGGTACTTTCCTGTTAAAGGGAACATTCATTATTATCGATGTTTTTTTAGATTCATCGATATTCTATTTTTTGATCCGATATACCGATATTAATGAACGAGATGTCAGCTGACAACTACGATAAGTAAATATTGTTCAGTATCAACAAACAATTTAAAAATATTATATTGAAATGAAACTGTTCCAAACTAACCTTATCTAACCAACCAAACTTGCTGTAACATTTCCAAATTCTGTTTCAAATTACTTACATGCCTTTTCTGTTATCAAACGAAATTTTGAAATTATAGCCCTACAGCAAGTTTGGTTAGTTATGTTAGGTTAGTTTAGAACAGTTTTACTTATTTCTGGATCCACATAATATACTATTTTTGCCTAAACAAGATCGGATGTCAATTTGTAATTTAAATGTGTTTGAAGATAAAACAGAAGGCATGTATTGTAAAGGAAAGCAAAAATATCGATTGATATATCGACAGAAATCAGATCGATAATAATGAATGTTCCCTTTAACAGGAAAGTACCAAAAATCCAATTAATGAAAAAATCAGACATATCAGGGAAAAATCTAACACATTCACATATAAAAAAAAAAATACTCCTAACCAATTAAATCAAAATTTGCTATGAATTCAAAACATATGTTATCAACTGTTTATTTATTTTATTTGTTTACATACTTTTATAACTCATACTGTAATCATGGCCTTAGTGCCGAAATACGTATCAGTTTAAATAAAAATTAATTTCAGGGTACTCTGGTTTAAGCAAATTTCCCATATAAGGAAAAAGCTATTACCGTAGTACTCATGGTAAGACCTGGACCCGGGACCGATTTACTTTATCGTTTTGAGCTCCCTAGAGGCCAAAAACACCATCCGTTCAAATTCATATATATATACCCAAATTTTATCAAAATCGGATCATTTTTGCTATATTTATCGTGCTAACAGACTCATATATATATATATATATATATATGTATATAAAATCCAATGTATGTTTGTATGTATGTTTGTTTGTTTGTCCTTTATGGACTCCGAAACCGCTTGACAGATTTTAATGAAACTTTCAGGCATTATTAAGC